GGGCTGGGCGCGCGGGGGCGCTGCGGGCCGGGGTCGGAAGTTCTGGGAGCGCGCAGCCCCGGCGGCGGACGGGGGCAGGGGGAGTCGCGCGGGACTCGGAGTTAGTTCTTCGCGGTGGACTAGGGTCTCAGGGCCCCGGGGATGGGGGTTGTTCGGCGCGAGCTCCCCGCAGGGAAAGATCAAGGCCACGCCTGTCCGAGTCGCCATCGGTGGCATCTGGAGACGCGACTCCGACTGGACCTAGCACTGCCGCGGGAAAGGGGCTGGCCCCGCGCAAAGTTGGGGCGGCTTCTGTGGCCACACCTTCACCCAGGAGAGCGCCCCTCCGTGCCGCCTCCCGAGGGATCGCATTTGCAAGGAGCAGAGATTGCTGCGTTTCTGTTTCTCGTCCACTTGAACCCGGAGTAATACAGAAAGTGCGCAGTGATCCGGTTGCGTATCGCTAGCAAGTCCGGCGCAAGTAGGAAACTGTTTTAGGTTAAAGTGTTCCCAGGGGTGCGCCCATTCCATCCCGTTCCGGTCTCAGCTGCCTCCCCCTCCCAAGTTAGGTCATTGGCTGGATGGGGGGACGGGAACCCTTAGATCCGCTTGACTGGATAGGAACTAACTAAATGGAACCCTGAGGGCTTTTCTGAGAAGGGTCTGTCATCATCAGTTTGAAATTCTAGGTACTTTTTCCAGGAAAAAGGGGGGGCACGTGATTATTTATTATGTATTGTAAACCTACTACGTTCTAGTAATTGTTATGCAGTCTCCTGAAAATCTGTTTTGTAAAAAAGTGTTTGTTTGTTTATTTGGAGATGGATCTTACTTAAATTGCCCAGGTTGAACTTGTCCTGATCCGCCTGCCTCAGCTTCCCGGGGAGCTGGGATGACAAGGGTGCAGTCTCCTGAAAAGCGTATCACCGCTGTGGGAGTGAGGTTGTTATATCCCTGTGACTGGGGACAGAAAAGCCCTGAGGTTGGAGGACCGGCCCGCGTTCTCAGTCTTAAGTCTCCGTGCTGGAATTTCTGATTTTATCTGTTGCAGTACAAAACTTCAGCCTACAATACCACTCCCAGGTATCCAGCAGGGGAACCCAGGGCTTATTTGTCTAATAATTTCTTCCTGTGACAAAGAGCCATCAGCAAGGCCCCCTGAGTCTCTGGAGATGGAGTGCCACCTCAGCCTCCAGGTATCCCGGCAAAGCATTCCTCTCTCTCAGGCAGGTGTTTCAGTGTCCCACCTGCTGCCCAGTTGCACAGAATAAATAAACGCCAAGGCAGGTGGGTGTAAAACAGCACTGCAAAAGGTAAGTAGATGGGAGAGTTCAGGCAAGTCAATTCATGTCTCTGAGACTCAGTTTAACCTTCTGTAGAGTGAAAATGGTAGTAGGAGCAGCTGAGGATTTCAGCATCCGAAAGGTGTTGTATGTGAAGCCCTTGGCCCCTTCCCACCCGGAGCACTCGCTGGATCACCCGTGGACTCAGTTTCTCATTAGATTGTGGTGCTGTCTGCTCCATCTCCACCCTCCTGAGCTATGTCAGGATGACTTTTGGCCTGTTTGTAAAACGCTCCAGGGATCCAGGCTGTGTTGTGTCAGTGGACCTTGTTACTATAAACATGTGCGGGAGATGGCTGGGTGGAGATAGCGCTGTTTACTTTGTGTCTAGATAGGCTTCATTTGTGTGCTCACGATTACAATACCCTAATGACATGGTGTAGCTGAGAAACGCCTGCCTGTCGCTTAGGTGTAGAGGAGGTTGTTTTCCACCAGCCGGCCCTCCTGGGCGTCCCTGTAGGTGACACACTCTGGAGATATCCTTTCCCGGTTTACAGGTGGATAGGGTCAAACCAGTGGCGCAACAAGAAAGTTTGGAGTTGTCTCTGCCCACCCTTTATCCTTTTGTGTCTCTGCTTGTTTTGCGTTGCTGAGGATGGAACCCAGGGCCTCGCACATGTTCGGCAAGTGGGAACTCTTGTGCTTAGAACTGCAAGCTACGATTGTTGCTGAAATAAACATGTAGTTCCCATTTCCTTCCCCGAGGAAAACCCCTTGTAGATACCAATGGTTGGAGAAGCCGCTTCCATAGCGGTGCTGGGTGTCCTCAGTGCTTGGTCCTCAGGGGCTGGGGATGAAGCTGGTGCTAGAGTGCGTGCTTGCCTGCAGGAGGGATACTCCCTCAAACCACAACACTTTGTCCCTGAACTTTAAGGAGTTCAGGATGGAAACTGACACTTCACCTCTGGTAGAATGGAGGCCTGGACACCTTAACATGGCTTGCTCAGGTCAGTGTCCTGAGAGAAGCAGGGTGACAGGCCCCAGAGTGTTTGACAGGTCCTGGAGCGGTGACAGACCTGGGCTCCAGGGTGGGTGGGCCAGGGACCCAGTCCATACCCGCTGCTGCCCCAGTTCTGTTTGACCTTGGGATACTCTACAACCACATTTCCCTGTGGGTGCAGCAGGAATACTGACCCAGGGTCACGTTGTTCCAGAGCTGCTCCCCGCAAAGTGATCCTCTTGGTCACTGGTGCTCTTTGACCTTGCATGGGACCATGCATTGAGCTCTTTGATCTGTCATTGCCCGCTCCTTCGGTCACATTTATGGGCATCTGCTCTGGGCCAGGCACCGTTGTAGCGCGGGGAGACGCAGCTCCAACACAACTGTAGCTGTTTCCACGGAGCTTCTCGGGGGAGGAAAGTTGGAGTTCCAGGCGAAAGTGCACTGGATGGGTCTGGGGATGGTAAGTGCTCTGCAGAACAAAGCCTTGAGGGGTGAGAATGGTGGGAGGGGATCCTGCTCAGTATTTAGATAGGACCATCAGAGAGAGACAGAGAGAGACAGAGAGGCTGCTAAATGCTGAGTCCCTAAGGCAAGAGGGTAACACCCATCAACTAAGGAACCGAGTCATTTTTTAAAAGGTGATGAGAAATTAGTACCCTTGTAGACTGCTTGCTTTATCTGTCCCTATCGGAAGCATCTGACCTGGGTTACCTTTGTGGTATTTATTATTATGCTGTTTTTATTAGTGTTTTCCTTCCTGTCACCAGGGAGCTAATGTAGCTTTTGTGTCCTGGCTTCTAGCACCCAAGAACCTGTCATGGTACTAACTCAACAGATTCTTCTCTAGTCCTCCCAGCGACTGAGAGGGGACATGTTCTTGTTACTACCATCTACATACAGATAAGGAAAATTGTGCTCAGAAAAGTTGAGAAACTTGCCCAAGGTCACACAGCCTGTGGATATGGCAGCCAAGAATTTACCCCAGACTGTAGACCGGAAGGCAGTGGAGAAAGGCGAGTGTGTAGCTCTTAAGGAAGCAGACTACCGCATTAAGTTTCAGGGCCCCCTTAAATGTTTATCCTTTAAAAGAGCAGTAGGTTTGTCCTTTCCTTGACATTCCTTGTATTAAGCAAAGCCAGCACTTGCTTATCTGTGGGCGTGAGCAATTTCAGCAGGATGTCTTTTTGTTTCCCTCTCTGGAAAGGACTTCTGCTGGGGTGGGGATACTTTGAAATCTCTGCACTGGGAGTTAAGGGTGCTGGAGGAAAAACTCCACCCACCAGGACGGGCTGATGGGTTTGCCCTGAGCATCTCCAGGCGCAGGGCTAGGGGTGGGGGTGGGGGGTGGCTCTCCTGATAATCTGGGCCGGCCACCCTGCACCTCACGTTCCTGCCCAGAGCGACGGGTGGAGCTTTATCCTTCTTCCAGGGCAGATGGCGCACCCGCTGGGGACTGGGTACCATTTTGGAATCAAACACAAACCAGTTGAAATTGCTCGGTTCTGCTTTTCACTAGCTGGGCGCTCCCCCAACCAAGTTACATAAGGCTCAGTTTACCTTTCTGTAACATAACGCCCACCTGAGAGAGGTGTTGACGATTAGGTAGGAGTCTGTGTGATGAGCACCCTTGGGGCCCTAAGGAAGGACGCGGATGTCAGATTTATCCACAAGGAACTTGAAGGGGATTCACATGCATCTGCAACATCTAGTATACAGATGCTAATCTTCAAAGTTTGAAATATTGAAATTTGATCGGACAGGTGGCTCTGAGGGACTGCTAGCTGCTTACTTGGTTTCTGAGTCACAGGGAAATCTCCATAATGGTCATCACACACTCTTTATGTTCTTCGTAATATTCCAATTGCATTCGCTGGTTGACTTGCCAGTCATTCTGTAGAAAAGGGTTTTTCTCTCCTTTTAATTGTGTCAAGAGCTGAGAGCGTAGCTCAAGGCAAACAGCACCCATGACCGTGGAGTCTACCTCTCCCATCCGCAACAAGGCAAGCTGACGAACATGAAAAATCAGGTGGATTTTTCAAATCAGGACAGGCTTTAGCCCCAGCAGATAAGCACACCCAACACATCATTAAAGCTGGCCAGAGCAATCGCCTCGGGAATCCTGTGTTTGCTGTGAGTCACTAAGGGCTGTAAACACTCCGGAGAGGGTAGCAAGGTGTGTGCGTGTGTGTGCACGTGTGTGTAGTTATTTAATGGATTTGCTCTCTGTAAATGTGTCCGATGCCGCCCGGGCCAGATGAGTGTCTGTCGGGGAGGGGAAAGCCCAGGATCACCTCTGATTCCCAAGGGCCGCCCTGTCTGTGGGCCCTGCAGCTGCCTTCGTGAAGGCGGGGATGTCAGGGTTTCCCTTGTCTGCTGCTTGGATGCCTTCAGGAGAGCCCAGGTAGAGGATGCCGCTTGCGGCCGTTCCTCGCAGCTCTCGCCCCATGGCGACAGCCCATCAGGTGCTGCAGCTGCCCCAGATTTGGAAGAAATTCCCAGCCAGGCGAGTGCGACAGGTAGGTGAGGCCCACCTGGGGTCTCAGCCCTCACCCGGGGGATGGGATGTGCCACTGAGCCCTGGCTGAGGAGGAGGAACGGGTGGGTGCAGCATGGTGGCAGTCCTTGGTCTACGTGCCGGGTTTTGGGGGGACCCGGATCGGGGAACACCCACCGCCTGGCACCTGGCATTTAGTTCAACTGCAGGTGCCCGGTCTTTTGTTGGTGCTGGGATTTGGAAGGTGGTGCAGGCTCCCAGCTAGTTTGGGCTGTAACTTTATCTCAGGCATTGAGTGTTCCCTACCTCTTAATTGTGCAGAAGCTTCAGAAAGCTCTCCCTGGGGGCTCAGAGAGGAGGTGAGACAACAGCTGCAGTTGCCTGCGTGCCTGGTTCCCGCCCTCACCCGCACAGCCTCTCCAGGGAGCCCTGACTTTGAAGTCCTGTGTGCCCAGGCAGGGAAGAATGAACATTTTAGTTCAGGCAGGCCCTGTTGGTGATGAAGAATTATTTACTGGGGGCCAGGCAGGAGGCAGGAAGTACTCTGTCCCATGCATTCCTGCGGGTCCCCTGTCCTGTGGACGCTGGGCTTCTCCCTAGCTTGTAGATCAGACCACTTAGGCTTAATGAGGTAACACAGGTAGCTGTAAGGGCTGTTGCAGACTTTTGGTTTTGGGGGCTTTGGGGGCAGGGGCAGTACT